GGGGCAGCTGGGGAGTGATTCCTCTCAGAACCTGCTGTGGGCAGCAAGCCTGGCCGAGCAGGACCCTGAGGTCATGAGTTCCTTGGACCTTGTCCTCAGAGTCCTTGCTGGATTCTTCTGAGGAATCATCGCCATTGTGCTCCACATGCCTGGCCCTGCGCACAAAGAGGCATGTGGCCCGGGTCCACAGGTTCAAGGGCCTGGGGATGCTGAGCCTGCTGGGAGGCTTGGGGCTCAGCCAGACCCAGCTTTGTCCTCTAGGCTTAGGCCTCAGCCCCAGCCTGCCTCTGCCCCAGCCTTGCACCCTGTCCTGCCTCCCCCAGCAGCTGCCACTACCTACTCTGTCCTGGGAACCCCAACCCTGACCTGACTGCTGAGGACAACTCGGCTCCTGGCTGCCTTGTCCTGCTGTCCCCAAAACAGAGCCAGATCCCTTGTCCATATTTGGAGGCCAAAGGCAGGGGTCACACAAGCCACAGACAGGAAGTTTGAGAAGCCCCAGCAGAGTAGCAAGGTGAGTTGAGAGCTGAGAATCCCTGGATTCAAATCCCAGCTCTGGCATTATGGGCTGTGCGACCTTGGGCAAGTTACTTGTGCCCTCAGTGGTCTAATTCCTTCTCAGTAAAATGGGGATCATAATAGTACTTGCCATGCATGGTTGTTAGAAGGATTAAGTGACTTATAAAAGTAGTGCAACAGAGCCAGCCTCTGCAGGTGTTAGCTGGTGGCCTGTGGGCACCCCCCCCATAGTCGCTCCCCACAGCGGGGGACCAGGCTTAACCCTTAGGAAGAAGTGAGTCAGGACTCCTCCCTCCTCCTTCACTCTGGGCTGGGGACTTGAACTTGTCTCTTTCCTGGAACTCAGCTCAGGAAGGACGTGAATTAGAATCTCCAGTGCTGTGGAAGTAACAACACTAACAGCTGTGATGTCCCAGCACTTTTCCCAGCAGTTCTGCTGGGCAGACCCCCCTTTGTAGTCTGAGAAGCAGAGGCTCAAACAAGTTCATGTAAGCTGCTTCTTCGCTCAGCAACACTGCCTTATCTCGCCCCAGCGAACCGAACACACAGACCCAGAGTGCCCTGGCCGATGGCTCAGGTGGCTGGAATGTCAGCCTGTGCACCAGAGGATCGGTCCCCAGTCACTCGGGGTGCATAAGAAAGGCCACCAATGGATTGATGTTCCTGTCTCACATCGATGTCTCTCTCTCTCCCCCTCTCTGTAACAATCAGTAAACAAAGCCTCGGGTGAGGATTAAAAAGAATAATAATAAATAAATAAACAAACAGGCCCTGAGAAGGAACCTGCTTATGGTACTTGCATTGGTCCTGCCAGGCCCCCGCCCCACTGCCACCCCCTGAGTGGCTGGGGGCTGAGAACTCTCTGGGTGCAAGCTCCGGTTTGGGGGAGCAGGCTCTGAGGGGAGATGTGCTGTGTCCCATCTGGGGAGCTGACTTCCATGTCTACACCCAGGGGTGTCTCACAGGCCCCGAGGCAGGGAGATACCCCTGTCCTGTGCAGAGAGCTGAGCATGAGGACTCTGTTGGTTCCCCAAAGCCTGAAAGAAGCTCCTCTAGGGAGGCCTGAGGGTCCCCAGAAGGCCCAAGGTCTTGTGTGCTTGGATATGATATAAACTCCACCTGCACTGGGACAGATGGGAGAGTTTCTGGGAAATGCTCTTCCAGGATCCAGGCATCTGGGTGACATGGCTGAGAATGCGGGTTTTGACGCTTGCGCCTGGGGGGGGCATGCAGGGGCCTCTCTCTCTCTCTCTCTCTCTCTCCAACTTGCCGGTCACCTGATGGGAGCCTCTGGCTTCACATCACTGCAGTCTGTCTCCATCGGCCCCTTCCGGTCTTTTCTCTTCACTCAGTACTGGTTTGGATTTCAGGGTCTATTATGGCAACTTGTCTTGCCAGTGCCCGCAGTTACATACCCCATTGTCTCAGCATTGCACACTCGGGGTGAACTCCGACCTGGGACCTGGTGCCCAACCTCCGTGTGCTGCTGAGAAGCCCCCACTGTCACCCAGGCTGGTGAATCTGTTAATGCCTGGCCTGCAGCCTCCTGTGGGCTCAATGGATTTCATTTATTCATTTTTAAAATTTTATTTATTGATATTTAGAAACAGCAAACTGGCTGTTTGAGAGAGGTCATATCCCTCTCCCATTCTCCATAGCAGCTCTTTAAAATGGCCTCTTCTGCCCTTGCTGGTTAGCTCAGTGATTGGGCACAGGCCTGTGAACCAAAGGGTCGTGGGTTTGATTCCCAGTCAGGGTCCATGTCTCAGTTGTGGGCCAGGACCCCAGTAGGTCCTCAATCAATGTTTCTCTCTCCCACCTTTCCCTTCTCTCTAAAAATAAATACATAAAATCTTTTTTTTTTTTTTAAAGATTTTATTTATTTATCTTTAGAGGGGAAGGGAAGGAGAGAGGGAGAGAAACATCAATGTATGGTTGCTTTTCATGCATCCCCTGCTGGGAATTGGCCTGCAGGGAACTGGTCTGCAACCCAGGCATGTGCCCTGACTGAGAATCGAACCGCGATTGTCTGCTTCGCAGGCCCGTGCTCAATCCACTGAGCTACACCAGCCAGGGCTCATAAAATCTTTTAAAAAATAAAAATAAAATGGCCTCTTCCTTACAGACAGAACAGTTGTTGCTCAGGGCCTTCCTCAATTTTCTGCTACAAAAACTACAAAGTTAACCTGTGTCTGTTCTTCCTTCTGTCTCATCCAAATGGCTTTACAAGCCCAGTACCTCCACTGTGTGTCCTGGGCCAACCTTCCCACCTGCTGTGCAGGGACTTTAAGACCAGCTACTTCTCTACCTTGTATCTTAAACCTCTTTTTGTGGATGAGAACCCATCTCATCTCTCCTATCTTAAAAGTCCGTCATGAAGACCTGCTGGTCCCAGCTTCCAAACATCCATGGAGTCTGTTCCATTTTACTCTGTCCCAACAGCCATCCCGTTGTCTACGCCTCTGTCATCTTCGACCTGGATGGTGGCATTAGTCAACCAACTGAGTTCCCTGCCTCCGTTTTGGCCCCTTGCGGGGAATTCTCTGGGCTGCAGGCAGAATGATTGTCCTAAACGCAATTCTGACCAGGCCATTCATTCCTCTGCTTATAACACTTTACTGGCTTCCTCTCGGCCTTAAGAAACTGCGCCTCATGCGGGCAGCTGCTGAAGCCCAGGCCTGCCTCTTCCCGTTACTGCGCCCTGTTCAAAAAACACACCCTTCGTAGTTGCTTGAAGGAGCCAAGTTCTCTTGTCCCCGGACCCTTCTGCTCCTTCTTCTTTCTGGGCGCTCCTGACTGCCTCCCAGCTTAGCCAGCTGCTTCCCATCCCTCAGGGCCCATGGAAATGTCGCTTCTTCTGGGACCACTGGGCCATTTCTTTTTATTCTTTCTCTTGGGAAGCTGACCCTGGCTCTACCTTGCAGCCGGCAAGTCCCAAAGCCTGCTCTGCTCAGAGTCCTCAGTCCTCTGATTAAACTCTCCCCCTGTTTGTGGGTGTCCCTCATCGGGGCTGCCAAGGTCATTGCACAGACGGAAGTAAGGGGGGCAGACTTGGTGGGAGCAAAGTGGAGGCTCCCCTCTGCAGGACGCTCATTTTCTCATGAGCTGGAGGGCTCGGGCCTCCTGCAGAGAGTGGTGTTGGGGGTGATGTGGATGTGAAGGGAGCGGAGGGAAGCTGCAGGTTGCCAGGGGAGCAAGTGACAAGGAACCAGCTGAGCTGCCTCGCAGACCAGGTTGAGACTGCTGATGAGGAATTCCTGCCGACGCTTGGCTGCCTGGAGGTGCTGGCTCCTCTAATAACTGCTCAGTGCGAGGCAGCAGGCGCAGTGAAGGCAGACGTGTGGATTTGTCTGTGGAGGGGCTTTCCTGGGAGAGTGGGACCAGAGAGGCAGGCGTCTAAGGAGATGAGGACTCTGTCGAGGAGTGGGTGGGATAATGGGTTGTAGAATATTAACCAGAGGGAGGTGAAGACAGGAGGGGGAGGTAAGGCAGGAGGGGGCAGCTTTAGAGAGACATCGGAGGGCCCTGTGGACATCTGGTTACAATGTGGGCCAAGATGGGGGTCTGCGTGAGAGGTGCTTGGAGCAACAAGCTGGAGGAGGGAGGCTGTGGGGCCGGCTTCTCTGACTGAGGAAGCGCTGGGTTTGTGCCCCGCCTGTGCCTGGACCCGTCTCTCACCCTCCCAACTGGTGCGGGCGGGTGTGCAGATCTACCTCCACTGCCCCCGGAAGTGGGCCCTCTGGGGCGGGAGCCAAACCCTCCATCCGCACCCTTTCCAGGGGAGTCCGACGCGGGCCTCGCCTACAGCAGCTGCTCCGAAAGACACTGTGTCAAGTAACCCTCCCCCTCCCCATTTTCTAGACCTCTGTTTTCCTTTACTTTCTTAAAGGAAATTTTATGAAAGAGTCTAACCTGCCTCAGCTGAGCCCTCTTCAGCTGGCGCTTTATCCTGGCCATGCGGGGAGTGTTCCTGCACCTAGAGGGGAGATCCTTCCACGGTGCAGGTCAGGCAGGAAGTGACTCTTACCACCCAAGGGCATTTCAAACGCCCCTCCCACACCCAGGAACCCAGAGGCAGGCCAGTCAGTGCGTTGGCTACGTGGCCCAGGATGCTTGGTTTCAGAGGCGGGGTAGGGACTTTAGCCTGCCGAGAAACCAGCCGATAAAACCCCAGCACTTAAGGCTTCATCTTGAGCCAGCACGTGAGCAAATACCAAGGACTCAGCACCCCCTTCCCTCCCTGGGACCAGAAACCCATCACCTTCCCGAAGCTGAGCACCCCCTACTCCCCATCTCTCTTCCAGCTTCAGGGTATCAAAGAGGAGAAAGCACAGGTGTTACGGAGGACCCCTTCAAGGCCCCCTTCATCAGCCCAAGATGGATAGGCACAGAGCGTTCATGTTGGAAGGGTGAGCGTGGGTAAGGGGAAGGTGGGGCAGGAGGCGTCTCTACGTGAGATGGGGGTGTGAAGACAGTAGCAATAAGAGCAGCCACCACTTTTATTGCACCTCTGTCACGTACCCAGTCCTTCCACACATGTCATTTGATCCTCAGAACTATCACGACCGCAGCCACGACTCTCAAGACACTGAGGCTCAGAGAGGTTAAGTCACTGGCCCAAGTTCCCCAGCTGGGAAGTGGCAGAAGGGGGAGTCCAATCCGAGCCTGTCCCATTCCAGAGCCCATGTTCTCTCCACTTTGTCACCAGCGATTCTCCTCAATGGAGACCTGCCAGTGCACCCTCTGGGGGGGCAGCCATTCCTCCCGGGGAAATCCCTGACGGGGTTGGAGGGCAGGGTTGGCTGGAAAGGGGTGTGGGGAATAGGAGCCAAGAGTCTCCGGGGATCCCAGACAGGTCTCTGCCCCAGGTCCCCAGATACAAACAGATGGCCCCTGGCAGTTCCACAGCCCCAGTGCACATCACACAGAAGGGCTGGACAGTCCTGGGGACACGTGCACACACACACGTACATGCACTCACTCACGCCCAGGCTCAGATCTGTGGGCAGGGTTCTGGCTTGGTCAGATGAGGCTGGCGATGCTGGACGTGGTCTCCTGACGCCGGACAGCAGACAGCCGTCCTGAGATGCTGAAGATGCTGCCGTTGCTGCCGTGGTCACTGTGGGCGGAGGGGGCAGCTGTGCAGATGGGAGGGCAGTGTCCACTCATGCCCACTTGATACAGCAGCAAGCCCAGTAGCAAGAGTGAGCTGGAGACAGCCAGGGCGATGCCCACGGACAGCATGGCGGTCAGTGGCCGGGCAGGGGTGGCGGCCAGCCCAACCAGTGTCAGGCCGGTGACCAGTAGTACCAGGCCACTGAACAGCACCACGAGGGCATCGGCACCACCACCGCTGCGCAGCAGGGCCACATGTTGGGGCTGGCGTATGCAGTTCATGTCCTGCACGGCTGAACTCATCAGCTGCTTAACCAGAACCAGCAGGGCCAGCAGGCAGAGCACGGTGCCCACTGCCAGCCGCCACTCACCCGAGCGACTGCTGGTGGAGGCGAGCAGTGCCACACCGCCCGCCCCGCAGCCGGCCACGAGGCCCACGGCCATGCCGAAGCAGATGGCCGAGCGCCGCGGCTGCTGGGACCACCACAACTCCACCTGCTCCGCCAGCACATCGGGGGGCAGCCCCCTGCCTGACAGGGCTGGAGCCTCTCCCCCGGGCATGGCTGGGTCTGGGACAAGTCAGGGCGGAGGACAGAACCAGGGAGGGACTAAAGGGTGTGGATCAGGGTCCGGAGCTCCCACCGCCTGCTCGGCAGCTGGAAGCCCAGAGTCCTGTTCCTTTCACAGTCCCGGGTGAAGTCACCGTCATCTGTGGGGGAGAGTCACAGTCGTTACCTCTGCGGCTTGCCTGCCGCCACTCGTGGTCTCTCCTGGGGGCTGTGGGGATGCACCCCGGGAACCCTCCCACATCCCCTGAAATGTCCCCCAGGAAAGCCCCCTCCCTAGCAATGCCCCTTGAGGGTGCCTCTCCAATGACCCCAGGAGAGTTTCCACACATATAAAGCACCCCACCCCTCCAAGGAACCCCCCTTGCCCAGCCCCTGACCTCTCTGGCTCTCTCAGTTGCCTGTCCCATCCCGGGTGGCCGAGGGAGCTGGTGCCACGATGGACTGCGGACGATGACGAGAGCCAGAGATAAAGCCTCATTCAGGATCCACTCACATGGCTTCAGCTGTCACCGCTGGCTCCTGGGGGGAGGGAGGCACGGAGGGAGGGGGCTGGGACTTAACCCTTCTGGGACCAGCAGCTTGACCCGGATCTTCTCACCTAGGGCTGTGTCTCTGCAGGTCAGGCTCTAACCCCTAAGGCCATAAGGCCCTCCTTCCCCAACATCCGGTCCAATCTCACAGCCACAGCTGCTGGGGCCCGAATCCACCCCACACCCCTCAAACCCAGATCTTCCTCCGGACTCCAGACCCAGAGCCAGTTGCCACCTCCATGTCCCATAGACTCCCTGTCAGCTCTGATGCAACAGGACCAGCCCCAGCTCATCTCACCCAAACCTGCTCCTGCTCCTGCGCTCCTCACTGACGCACGTCCCAGGAGCCACCTCTAAACATTTCTCCTTTGGTCCCCTGCCCTCATCCCCACGGCTTCCTGACTCCTCCCCCTCCCACCCCCAGCTCCTCAGGGTCTTCCTGTCTCCCAGCCCCCAGGCCTCTCATCACCCTCAGGGCACCCTCCTCCAAGATTTTTCCAAAGTTGCGCAAAAGGAAAGGAGGGCTCCGGGTCTGAATCCCAGCAGCAGTCCTTACCGCCCGTGCGGATTGGGGTGAGGGGCCCCATCATGGTTGCTCATTTAACATGTCCCTGAAAAGCCAGCCAGCAGGACTGGGGAAAATAAAGCAGCCAGGGTCTCTGCCCTCAAGAAGCCCCAGTTACTGCAGGTAGGTTTGTGGTTCATGTGATAAATGCTGGGTGGGGGGGTAGTTAGAAGAGGAATTTTGGGGGAAGGTCAGAGAGGTCCCCTTGAGTTCACCTCTTAGAGTTCCAGTCTCCTTATCCTAAAATTGAGGACAGTAACATTTATCTTGAGGGGTGGGGGCTAGTCATTTGATAGCTCCATTTCGGAATTCAGTGGGAATTCTGGGGCCTGTACAGATGCCTCAAACAAGATTTTTGAATGAAAAGACACTATGTTGGCTGTCCCCTCCAGTTTAGGATGGGACTCCTGCTAATACACAGGATGCAAGTCCTGGATCATTCAAGGACCGCGACTGTGTGGCTGTTCGTGGGTTACACCCCTGATGAGGTCTCCGTCCTCCACAACCCCCAGCAGCTGGGTAGGAGGGGCAGGTGCAAATGCTCCTGAGGGAGGTGGGGAAGGGGCTATGGGAGGGGCCCCTGGGTCAACGCCACATTTCCCAGGGCGGTGATTTCACGGGGCCTGAAAGTGCTCGCACCAGCTGGGGTGAGTTGGAGACGGGGGGGGGGGGTGGAGAGGACTGGGAGGGCTAAGGGGAACTCACGAGAAGCCTGGAATTGCTGGATCCAACCCGAGCGGGGCAGGTGGGGCGCTCCAGCTCCGTTTCCGGGGAGGTGCTTCACCTGCCTAACCTGCACCCCGTGAGACCAGCGGTGGGGAGGGAGATCAACAGGTGTTTCCTAGGCAGGGCTTGAGCCGATTGGCTGACGTGGCACTGCTCCTTCAGCGGACAGATGCATTCCAGGGAAGGGAGGGGCTTCTGTCAGCTGCTGTGAGGGCTGGAACAGAATTCCCAGACCTGGGCTGCAGGAGAAATGTTGTCTATCTGCTCTGGTGCCTGGGCCCTAACCCATCCCCCCCAGCTCCAACCCCATCTGGGCTTTAGCCCCAGTTCCAAACCTAACCCCTGCCCCAGCTGCAGGTTCACACCCGAACTAGAACTCCTAGCTCCAACCACAGCCCTTACCCCGCATCTTTGCCTCAACCCTGAATCTCAAATCTCAATCTCAACCCCCAGCCTCATTTCCACACCCAAGTCCTGTCCCAGCTCCGAATCCTAACCCCAAATCTGGCTTGAAACGTCAGATCAAATTCCTCACCGAACCCCAGCTCCAAGTTCTGGAACCTTCCTCTCATCCTCAGTCCCAACCTTGCCTCCTGTTCCAGAAGCCAGCCCCCAAATCCTAAATCCAAACTCAGACCATGCCTCAGCTTCAAGTTGCACAGCTGACCCCTGGCCCCAGCCCCTGTCCCTCCATTCTGTGGCACTTTCTCCTGGCTGAAATGCCCCAAGTCCCTGACTCAATTTCCTTCTGAGCTCCAGTGCCTGACTGTGTCCCACGGGCTAGTGCTGGGGGAGGCAGGATTTGAGAACACAGGGAGGAGGGGTAAAGGCACTTCCTGTGGGAAATAGGAACTCCCGTGCTGAAACCATATGCAGAATGAACTTCCAGATAAATGCCACACTCCTTCACAAGGGCTCACACACAGCAGGTCAGCCAGTTGCCACTGGTCCCTGCACTCCACCCAGGATTCAGATTGTTCCGGTTCAGCATGCTCTGCCCTCCACTCTGCGTTTCTGGTTGGTTTCTGAACACAGAGTCCCATCTGCTTGGGATACTGACCACCCCAGCTTCAGTCTGGCCAACATGAATTCAAATTCTTTAACTGAGATGTTACCTCCTCCAGGAAGCCCACTGTCCCTGACCTCCAGTCTGGTTTAGGTGTCACTTGGGTGCACCCATGGCCCCTGTGTTTTCCCCACAACTGCTCAGACTGCATGTGCTGTAATTGTAATTTTCCTTCTTTACTTACCTGTCACTTTCCACTAGATGTGTGACCTCGAAGGCATATAGGTTTGTGCCTATTTTGCAAACCATGGTGACCTCAGCCAGCACTGTGACTAGCACATGGGAGGCAATCGGTAAATATTTGTTCCATGAGGTGTGTGGGTTTTGAGCAGGCAGCACGTGAGATGAAGCTAGAAAGACAAGTTTGGCTCAGACTGCACTGGGCCTTGGACGCCACGGGGAGGCACTGGCTGTCATTGGAGGTGCCCACGGAGGGTCCCGAAGGCACCTCACACCACGCACTGTCTGTGTGGGCTGGGGGGGTTCTGTGGGAGGGGGTTGGGCTGTGCCCACCTCCTGGATCAGGCTCGTTGTAGTGAGTGCCTCTTGCTCTCTCCTCCTGATGTGTCTGCAAGAGACAAGGGAAACCAAGTCAAAGTTATCGTTCTACCAGCAGCTCACCCCCACATTGCACTCGCTCTGTCCACGCTTCTGTCTGCACTGTGCTGTAGGGGGGGGGGTGCTTGCGGGGCCGGGCCCGGCTCTGGGGCGGTGCTGTCCAGTAGGAATATAACAACATCAGCCACATACATAATTTCACATTTCCAGTATGATAAAAAAGTGAAAAGAGACATTCATACATCAACATTTTATTTCACCCCTAAATACTCACATTTTAACATATGAGTGATTAAAGGAGCTATTTCGGCCTTTCATTTTGTATGAATTCTTGAAAATAAGTTGTGTGCCTTCTACTTAGTTAGACTAGCCATGTTGCGAATGTTCAGTCGCCACATGCGGCTCGTGGCTCCCTTACTGGATGGCGTGTGCCGACTGCTGTGGGGCAGGCTGGGCCTCGGCGGGAAACACGAGGGTTTGCCACTTCGCAAAGCCCCAGTTACAGCTTTATAAAGGTGTCCCCTGTCCTGGGAGGAGCAGGGAGGCGGGGGGCACCCGGCAGGCTTTTGGGCTGTGTATTCCTCTTGCACATATCTGACACTTATTTATCCTCCTGGTCCCAAGGAAGGGCCAGTCCCGGGCAGAATGAGCTGGGGCAAGGAACTCATGATATTTTCCCTCCTCTTCTCCACTCCTGGTCCTGACCGGCCTCTCTCTCACTGCTCACTCCAAATCCAGAGCAATGAGTGTGAGGGGTAGGCCCTTCCTGGACATGCGGGTATTCCCGGGCCCTCCAGGGTCCCTCAGGTACTACTTGGGAGCCACTGGTTGGTAACTACTGGTCATGCTTTATATGGGGAAGGGTAGATGCCCACATCAGAACCTCCTGTGGGGCAGGGTCTTCGGCACTGGGAGAACAGGATGGCGGTGGAGGCTCAGTGGGAGCTCGTGCTGTCTGGTCACAGCTGATGTGGACCCTAGAAGAGGGCAGGGGAGCCAGGGGGAGTCTGAGGCCCAGGGGGAGGGCAGCCTCCATGGGTCTCAGCTGTCACAGCAGAACTGACCACATTCCCAGAGCTCAGTGATGGACTGACTGCAACCAGAAGGGTAAGAATGGAGTCCATGTGCCCATGCCTGGCCACTTGTGTGACCAGCAGGGTTCCTAAGGCTGCAGCAGGAGAAGGGGGCTGCCAGGCCCACTCCATTAGTGAGGAGTGGACCGGAGGGAGGGACCCTGTGAAGGAGGAGGCAGTGCCAGTGAAGGAGGTGAGACCCGCCCCATGGGGTCAGATTCGGCAGCGGAAGGAGGTCTCAGGTGCAGCAGCCGCCCAATCAGTGCCACCCAGCCGGCTGACGTAGGGACGCACAAGACAGTACACGGAACAGTAAACAAGATTGGACCTCTGACCCCAGACTTGCTCGGAAGAAGCTGTGCTCACTCCTGTGCAGCTGAGAAAACATGCTGCTGACCTGCTGGCCACGGGGCAGGCTCCGCTGGGCGGGGCCCTCCTTGGCCTGGCTTTCTCCTCCGCAGCTGGGCCCTGGCCAGGCCAGCGTCCATCACTGGAGTGTTGCTACATCCTAGCCACAGTGAATTAAATTCCTAGGGCCCTGAGAAGAGACCCAGTTTCCTCAGCATGTTCCTTCTTACCCAGTCTTTCTCCCTCCCTTGTTGCTTGGATAACCCCCACCCCCACCCTGAGTCCTAGAGTCAGAAGAACTCACTTCTCTGCTTCTCCAGTGCCTCCATGTTGGTTCCAGCAGCTGTCCCCACATGTGTGGTCCCACGGTGTCCTCCTAACCGGTTCCCCCTACCCCACTTTTGGGCCCCTCAATCAATGATCCACCCAGATAACTGAGTGGACTTTTGTTTATTTTATTTTTAAAAAAAGATTTTATTTATTTGTTTTTAGAGGGGGGAAGGGGGGAGAAAGAGGGGGAGAAACATCAATGCGTGGTTGCCTCTCACGTGCCCTCTACTGGGGACCTGGCTCACAACCCAGACATGTGCCCTAACTGGGAATTGAACCTGCGACCCTTTGGTTCTCAGGCTGGCACTCCTTCCACTGAGCCACAGCAGCCAGGACCCTGAGTGGACTTTTACATCAGACCCAGCCTTGCCTCCATGGAACTGAGAGCCTAGGAGAGGCAGCCTCAGACAACTGAACAGACATGTTCCGTGCGGCGAGGGTTTACGTGTGGCGAGGGTTATGAGAGGAAACTGGCCAATGTAATTGAGTCGGGGCGGGAGGAGTCAGGGACTGTCTTCCTGAAGAAGCGACATTTCCATTATCCTCTGAAGGATGAGTTCATTGGTGGAGGTATGAGGGCAAGGGCATTTCAGACAGACATACCAGCCCATGGAAAGACCCAGAGGCAGGGAAGAACGTGGCCTTTTGTAGGAATTGAAAGGAGGCCACTGTGTCAAGAGCTTGGGAGGCCGTGGGAAGTGACTCAGTGGCTCAGCACTGGGCTCTGCAGTGCGCCTTCAACGCCCGGCACCATCTGGCCCTGCTGACCTTATTTTGAGTTAGTTTCTTCTGCAGAGTCAAAGCCAAGATGCTGGTCTGGGATAGGGAAGCCTGGCTCCCAAAGAGCCTGTCTGCCCGGCGTGGCTGTTGTCTCAGTGGATGAGTCCCTGCACCCCAGGCCTGGCCTCCCAGTGGGCAGAGGACATGCTGGGGTGCACGCTGGTCTGGAGGAGATAAGCTGGACACTGAAACTGGGTGTGGTCTGGGGGGAGGTGGGCCTTGCTAGGGAGAGAGACCCATGTACATTTTGCTCCGTGCCCTCTGCCCCGAGCCTGCCTCCAGCTATTCCCAGCCCTCGGAGAGATCTGCCAAGTGTGATATCTGTGTCTCAGCTCTCGCTGGGGAAACTCACCCAAAGCAGTGCCCAAAAGCAGACGGGAACTTGGGGAGATGCCTTGGGGACACCATGGTTTAAACCAGCCATCAGGGACCAGCGGGTACTGGGGGCTTAAATATTTGTTATTTGGGTCTTTGGAGGGTGTCTGGCCTCTGCAAGGTGGGGAACACAGGACCATTTGGGTAGATTGCTTTGCTCTTTAGTGCATAAAAACTACCTTTTCTGGTACATGTGGCTGGGTCACACATACAGTATGGGGCCCCAAGGAAGAGGTGTCCCCCCCCAGAAATGGAGGAGTGGGGCAGGGCCCTGAGGAACAAGGATGGCAAGTCTAGAGTGGCAGGAGGTGAGACAAATAGGGCAGAGCTCTGATTATAGTTCTAACAACTGAGTCAGCAGATAAGGAAGACCCAGGGAACTTCGCCATGTTCATTATTTTACCCTCGTGTTTACACAAATGTAAAAATCCTCAGAACACCTCATTAGGTTTCACAGAGGAGAAGAAAATGCAGGAGGCTTTGTCTGGTCTCGTCTTGGCTGGCAGAGAAGGAAACCAGGTCAGAACTGGGAGCCAGCAACCCATCCGTGAGGCCCAGAGAGGAAAGGGGGTGGAAGGAAGCCAGCTACCAGTTCAGTGTGGTTTCTATCGGGACAGGCAGCCGTGACTCTGGAG